CATCTCCAATTTTACGCGGGAGAAAACCTGAATAACTAGAGACATATATATATATGTGTGTGTGTGTGTGTGTGTGTGTGTGTGTGTGTGTGTATATGTATATGTACATGTACATGTACATGTACATGTACATGTACATGTATATGTATATGTATATGTATATGTATATGTATATGTATATGTATGAATGGCAGCAAAATAGTTTGTTCAAACTATTCAAATAACATTAAGGGTAAATTTAGGCTCAGAACCCTCCAGACATCTGACCAACACTTTGCTATATTTGAAATGATACACTGCAGCTAAGAAAGTAAAATAAGATATCATGTATATATATATAACCAATATAAGCTGCACAAGTTGGAGCAGAACCATTATTTTTCATGGCTCACATATTCATAATTTATTTTCTTCTTTGTAGAGATGTAGCTAAACTAACCAACTGTCCCAAAAAGAAAAGAAAAGACCTTCTACTGTTAGGTATCCTAAATATTAATTTATAGCACAAATCCTGTGCTCAGGTATATCAAGTGAGTTATTTTCATAACTTATTAAATAACTGGCCATTCACAAGAGATGGAAAATAGAGGAAAGTGAAATGCAGAAAGTATTAGCAGTTATCTTATTAGAAATCTTTTCAGAAATCAGAAGCTGGATGATAACACAATCATAATTGCATTTGTAAGTTAATATATAAATTAAAATGACTAAAATAAAATAAAGTAAGAATCTTGTTCAAGTCACAAAAGATAATACTGGACTTCTTAATTAACTGTGGTACAGATGCTTTCTGTTGCAATCAACTCTAACATTTCCTTATTCAAGAATGTGTTTTGAAGTCATTGACAGAATGGCAAAAAATATTTATTTATTTACTTCTTTTTATAATCCCATTACTGAGGACTCTGTAATGAAGGATTGAGTCTAATATCATGGAAGAAAAATCCTTACTGTGTACCACAAGTTTCTGTTCTCTTACCCACATAACCAATATACCCTTAAAATCTGCTTTGTGGAGCAGATTTAGAAAAATGCAAGGAGCTACAGATAATACAGCCCCCTTGAATTATATATGTAAATACATCTACTTCTCACAACAGTTTCATTTTTTAAATTCAGAGTAGTTAAACAGCTAACCCTAAAACGATTTGTGCCATCATCCAAAAGTTGCTTTGCAAATAGTTACTGTCAATAATGGAATTATCATCACTTGCATTATCTGCCTTTCATTTCCCTCTTCCTTCACTGTTTCTCCCACTGTGCATATCTCTCTAGTTCTCTTATCCTTTTGATAATGTGACTCTAGTAGGAAAAAAGCTTATCGTCTTTAATATTTGTTGCTTCCATTCATTTTTTTGCAGGTCAACAAAACTGTCATATTAATATTGTCAGATGACACCAGCCATTGATGGTTATTTTACAGAAAGAGATATTGTAAAATATTAAAGAGAAGGGGAAAAAATTCATATGTGACTATTTTCCTCTCAAATCACAGGTTTTCAAATACAAAGGCTGAGAGAGTCTTAGTAGCAGCCATTGTGGGAATGTTACATTAATCTAATTTGCCTTATTGATATGTCCTACCTACCTTCTTCCTAAATCCCTGAGTCTTTCAAAAGTCTCATTATTCCAGAGCATTATTTCTTCATACTTCCGATCCAAAAGTAAAAATATGGTACAAAAGAAGATGCTTTTAAAGTAGATTGCTGTTTATTCCAAAGTCATATAAAATATAAAAGACTGATGGAGCCAACTAACCATGTAATTCATAGAACTCTTAGGTGACCAAATGGGAAGTTACTCATAACATAGTGTAGGCAGTGATGGAATTCAATTTTTTTTTACTGCAGGTTCTGTGGGTGTGGCTTGGTAGGTGTGGGCGTGGCTTGGTGTGCATGGCTTGGTGGGCATGGCAGGGGAAGGATACTGTAAAATCTCCATTCCCACACCACTCAAGGGGCAGGTTACTGCTAAATCCCCATTTCCTCCCAATCAGGTGGGACTCATGAGACAAAGAATAGATGGGGGAGGGGCCAGTCAGAGGTGGTTCTCCAAACTACTCAAAATTTCCACTACCAGTTCTCCAAAACAGGTCAGAAACTGCTGACTACTACCTCTGATTATAGGCCTGCCTTTCTTCCATTGTTTTTTTCTCAGCCCACTAGAACCAGCAGAGAGGATATACAACAGATCTCCTCTATCAAACTGTGTCAACTTGCTTGATCTAGCAGCCATGTCTTCTCTAGGACAGTGCCTACCTTGTGTAATAAAATCTCCCCAGAGATCTGGATGACTCCAACCCTACTGGCTTTTCATAAGGCTTCAGAAACCTGGCTGTTTTTCCAGGTATTCAGGCCAGGTGGTTAGATAAAAGGTTGGGCTAGCTTATTGTGGCTATGATTTTATAAGGTATCATTTCCCTTGAATGTCATGGGCTATTTTTTTTTAATTCTTTGGTTTTAATCTTAATACGCTACAGAGAATCACTGTTGTGAGAGTGGTGGCCATATAAATTATTTAAATAAATAAAATATTACACCATCCTAATAAAAATATTATTATGCATAGATTTATCATTTGAATGTGATTAATTATAATTTGAATTCATAAAATACTAAGTGAAACTGGGATATATGTAATAACTCATGAAGACCACTGTGCATTGTTTTAGGAGCACGGATACTTTTACAGAATCCTGTTTGTGGAAAATGACTCAACTGGAAAAAAATAATGTTAACATATTTGTTGTGTTTCTTATAATCACTGTCTGATTATGAATAAACATCTCCAGTTGCTTCTTATATACATAATTACTGCCAGTTGATGGGTAAGAATGTTTTTAATAGAAATCAGCCTAAAGCTTTCATTGTAGAATACAACTGAATAGCAAATATTATGCCTTAATAATTAGCAAGAGCTTGCAGGATAGGAAATTGAGATCTTATATTAGGAATCAAATCAATCATAGACATTTCATCATTATGTAAGGTCTCAATTTTATTTGGGGATTAAATATCCAGATCGTTTATATATTGGCAAATCCTTAATCATTATATTACTTCTATAGTCTTCAGCTATTTATTTGATGTTTTTGGATAAAATCTGTAATCATTACTGTTCTTGTTCCTGATTTAAGGTGATTAGAATTATAAACATAACCTAAGCGAGCCAAGTGATATGTTTGTTATATATATAATGTATTTGTGATAGGGATATAATACATCAAACAAGAAAGCGACAGAACCATCTCTCGTTCCTTTCACATGTTGCACATCCAAGATGATTACAAATACGGAACATGTATATGGATAGCATGGGGAGATGTTACAATGAGGATAGATCAGTAAGAGCCTTTATGAAGGAAATGAATGGCAATGCATAGAACAGCAAGGAGGGAGGGAGGACTGAACAAAAAGAAATTGCATTTTAACTGAACTATACCTTCACATCCCCGCTCAATCTGTCCGCTGCGGTGCAGAGCATCATTAATGAGATCTGGTAGACGTCCATTCAAGTCCACTGATGCTAGGCAGCCCTGAAATCCATCTCTGGATGCTACCAGCTTTGGGAGATTGCTATACATTCCTTGAGCCAGTCCAGCAATGTACAGGTCGCCTAAAGGAAAACAGACAGGAGACAAGGGAAGTCCAAGGAAATCAGTGAGCAGTGCTATTATATTATGATCAGCATCTTAAAATGCCTTATTGATAATGATAAGTTAGGTAATGCCAATAGGAGAGAACTTTGCAATATAAACAACTGTGTGATATAGAAATAAGCAGCTGCAATTATACATTGCATCAATAATATTATAGTTCCCAAATTACGAACAGTAACAATTTCATTACATTCTATATGAATCAGACCCCAAGTCTTATAGTCAGTTCTAAGCACCATACTTTAGAAGGAAGATCATAGAACTAGCAACTGATCCAGGGAATTAGGAATATTAGGTTAATATCGGGAGGATAGAACTAAGGAGCGTATATTTGTCACTCAGACAAATTCTATGTTCTATTCTCTATCATTCCGGAGCATGTGTCACATAACAATAGTTTAACTTACAAGTAAACAGATTCTGAATGAATATGAGGAAAAATAATAATAATAATAAAAGTTGTTTTATAATTGAATCAGTTACAGGCTGCGTACTGGACTCCCCTTCACTTGTTTATGATCTGTTGAGGAGGTTTAATCTAGACTCCTGCTCTAGGGATTGGATTTGAAGATGTAATTTCAACCCTATGATGCCATATATAAAGTTCTTAAGAAATAAGTTCAGCTATCCAGTGCAATACCTTTTTAAATCTTACTGCTTTCTACAGAGTGCAGTTTCCAAAAGCATGATCCCTTTATAATCTTTATAACTAAAAATACCAGGTATTTATAATCATTATACTGTATGGTTCACCATGTCAATATTTCCCACACCCAGCTTTCAGATTTTTCAATGGATATGGTATTAGGAATAATTATTATCATGCATGGATGAATCAGTTCAAAATTGATCCAATTACTTACCCTTAAGGTCAAGGTTTTTGGCACCATTGATGACCTGAGTAACAACCCTGGTATCCACTTTTAGGCTATGGGTGTTGCTGTTGTCTCTGGTGATAACTACATTGTGCCACTGGTTGTCATTCAATGGGCGATCACTATTGCCCTTGATAACATTAGGTCCATTTCCAAGGTCAAACACATAATGGATATACCTTCAAAAAATAAAAGTTCCGGCTTTGAAAAGGTTAAAAAAAGATCATTCTAAATTTCAAATAATAAAGGTTTGTCTAGGGAAATGAAACAAAAGCAGCTTTGTCAGAGAAAATATGCTATAGCTATGAAGTCATTAAAGTTATAATTTCAAAAAATAAAAGAATCAGAAATTAAAATTAGGTTTTAAACATGTATGGAAGGCCTCTATTAACGAATCCATTGCCAGAGCCAACCGAAGATCTTACCCCTTGACCAGCTCAACTGCAATGAAATCATTTCCATCCCCACTGTTGAAAAGGATGAAACCATCGGCAGACGTTGTCTTGAACTGGAAGAAGAGATGCATGGAGGTATAGGCCTGCAAGGTTGCTAGGCTCAGATAGCTGCTCTTGGTCTTGAAGGTAACAGGATCAGCAATGATGTTACGGAGCCCAAATCGGGCTTTCAATTCACAATAGTCAATGTCTCCATTCTTGCATAAGTCAATGTAGAGAAGGCCATTGAACATGAGGCTCTGAAGGTGGCCAATGAAGCTGGAAGGAATGACAGAGATGTAACGCTTCTCTGTCATTATCCCAGTCTCAATGTTGTGGAACTCCAAGCGAGTGTGGTCACCAACCATTGTACCTGAAGATCAAAGCACAAAACAACTAAAAAAAATTCTGCAGTAACTTGTAATAGAAGAAAGCCTACTCAAAATTATTTCCATCTTTTTAGGAATAAATAATGACATTTATTGCTAAACTACAATTTCCAGTATTTTTAACCATTACTATTTTTTCTAGGAATGTTGGGAATTGCAGGTCACCAAAAGGTGGGGTGCTAAATAGTTCCTGAACCTTTTTTCTATTAATACTAATGCTGTTTCTTTAAGTCAACCTATAATAACTTGATACATTAAATCTGCGCATCTTCCATACCAAGGAATTTCAGCTATTGTGGTCTTTAGTACTCGTGGGTGACAATTTTAAAACTACATTCCAACCCATGTGGGGAACACAATGATAAATAAGGATGCCTTAAAGCTCCACCACCTTGTCCAGAAGATGCAAGGTAAACCACTGAAAGAAATGCATTAGCAGACTTCATGCTTGTAAGACTTGACATTCCTCTTTCTTCTTTAGATTAGCTTTTGAGAAAACAATTTTGTAAAGATGTGATCACTGATAAAGTTGGTTGAATAGGCAAAGTTATTAGGGAGCTTGTTGTATTAAGCTCTGAGTGCAATTGAAATGAAAATGGAGTGAACAGAGACACAATTTTAAAAGCAACCAATATCAGCAATTCATATATTATCTGTCCTTGTGGATAGTAGTATCAGAACCAAGTATGTTCAATTTTGAATTTTAAAAGATAAAATTGCACACTAAAATGTGACTTCTGATAAAAAAATTCCACTGTAATGTACAGATAATGTACAGATAATCAACATTTATATCAGCCTGTACAAGTCATTGTAATAATCATCTTTATCTCTTTTCCATTTCTATATATCTTTAACAATTCCTGAGAATCTTTTTTGTTTTGTCACAATCCTTTATTGCTGATCAAATATGATTCAATAACACTACATTCTGCAGAATGCTATCACACTTTTAAAAACAGCACCAATTAGAAATGTATGAGAATGATACATATAATTTAAAAAATGCAATATGATATTTTTCTCACAAACTTTTAATTATGTTAACTGATACTGTTCTCATTCTCTTGTTTTTATTTGTAATCCTATGACTGCATTGAACAATTATGACTGGCAGAATTATTTCAAAACACATTATATATTTAATACTACAAAATTGTTGGCTGTTCTTGGATATACATTTAAACTAGGTTTTAGAATTTATGAGAGTGCAACTATAGGTTTTTCTCGGGTTTTATACTGCTTTCCAATTGGAAACACACACACACCCCAAAAAGTCTCAACCTTCTGCTTCTACTTAGATTAACTACATTTTAGTGTACTATCTCAACCCTAAACAATCATAGATCTTAATTATAATTAACAAAAATAACCGCTTTGAAATTAGCTGTTTGTACTAAACATATACTTGAACTTAATGTTGAATCTTAACATAGTTAGGGTTTGGACAATATGACAAGAAGTTACTAAATTCACGTAGAATCAAAAGGTTTCTGTTATGTCTATGATAGGAAATGAAAGCATAGTGAACAAGCAGAAGTGTAGTCTTCGGTCTTTCTTCTAGCACTAAGCTGGAGGTTCAGCTTTAAATTTTCACCAATCCCTCCAGTGTTTTTCATTTCTGTGGCAGCACCTGTCTTACAGAACAGGATCCCACCCCCTGCCTGAGGTCTGGATGGCTCCAATTCTGTTAGTCATTTATAAGGTTCTGAAGATGTAGCTGTTTCCCTTGATGTTTGCATTAGGAATTTAGATAGTGTCTGCTCCTGGCTTTTGTGATTAGGGTCATTCTTTTATTCTTTAGGCCAAGGATTGTATATGTTGTGGTTCATGTTTTAATCCTTGTACAACAAAATCACTGTTATGATTGATGGCTATACAAATTATTTGATCAAGTGAATAAAATGAATAAATCTCTACTTACAGATCAGCAATCTTGTCAATTTTAATAAATTTTTTGATTGATTGATGCTGGATTGATTATGTGCATCAAGTCAGTATCGGCTCTTAGCAAGCACCTAGATTTTCTCCATGATGATTCGTCTCTAATCTGGTCCTTCACATCTTCCAACAGCGCCCCTGTTGCCACTGTAACATGCTGCTGGTTATCCTTTATTTCCCCACCTTTCTTACCATTAGAGCCTTCTTGGAGAATTAAGTCTTTGTATAATGGGTCTGAAGTAGGATAATTTGAGCTTGGCCATTTTTGCCTCAAGTGAGAACTTTGGGTTGATTTGATCACCAATCAATTCATTTGTTTGTTTTTGTGGCTATCCATCATTTTCTCTCCAACACCATTGTTCTAGTCCGTTATCTTGCTTCTTTAAAGTTATACTTTTGCTTCTACAGGCCTTGCATTTTTCTGATCTTTCTTAGCACAGATAGATGTTAGCCTTTGAATATCTTTTGATGGCCTTCATAGCTGCTCTATCAAATGCTAATCGTGATGTACTGTGTTTCTTTACATATTATTTATATTTTTTGAAAGTTTTAACAGAAATAATAAAAACAACTACAAAGTAAAATAGAACAGAGAAAACAAAAAGGAAAGCAAAATAAGAGGAAAGGCTAAAGTGCAATAAGAAAAAAATAGAAGAAAGTACAAAAAGAGACTAAGACTTATATAAAGGTATAAAGAAGTGATTTTCAGTGTTCGTAACAGCAGTTAAGTACAATTATATTTTAATCTCTCTCTCTAGTTACACTGTGACACTCTTATTTCTGTAATCTAGCCTGCCTAATCATCAAAACTACAAATCACAAGTTCATTTTTTCCACTTTTATGCAAAAAATCTGTTAGGGATGTTTGTGACGTATTTCTTGACTGCTTGTTCCGTTTCTGTTGTTGGTTGATCCTAAAGGTCAGAAACTATATTCCACTTTGATATCTTCATTGTCAATACCAAGCCTGGTTATTGTACCTCTTGTCTTTGATCTTCATTATATTTAGTTCCATTTTTTATTATGTTTTTTTTTTTTTACTTTTATTACTAGACTCTGGAGATTCTTTGCATTTTCATCTATTAACTAATTAGATAAATGTCATCAGCAAAATGCAGGTTACACACAC